TGTTTGTTTTTTCATTCATTTGTAACAGAAAACCCTTTCATGGGAATTGAGAGGATGGTCCTTGGTTCTCTCGAAATAAGATTTTCAAAAGAGCTGAAAATGCCAGTGCCCCTCTACAGTAGCCCAGTTTGCAAAAATGCTTAAAAGTTAGGAGCTTTTCTACTCCTGCATAGATCCCCAGTGTAAGCCTGTTATTCCACAAAGAAACGGGAGGCCCAGTTCCACGCCTTTAGCACCTTAAGTACTTTCCCAGCAGCGCCCATAATTCAGTGGAGTTAAAGTGAACCTTGTTACTAGCCCAGCTTTTGAGAAGATTTCGCCAGGATTTAGGCAAAGAACTACAGGGCATTGAGGAATAAATCCCAGTATGCTGGTCTTCCCGGGGACTTCTGTGATAGGAAGGTGAAGAACTGAGGACAAGGTTCCTAGGCTTGGAAGTCAGTCACAGTCGGCTAGAAGGCAGATCCTTTAGGAGGGAGCCTGCTTAAGGCTGGAACCTGAGACAGCCAGAATTGGAGCATGTTGCTTTAGCTGGGCTGAAAGATCGTAACCCAGCAGAGGGGGAGGAGGGAAGGGCCTGCCTTGCTTTTCCTCTTAAGAATGTCTCTCTGGAAATGACCGGAAATAAACACCTTAATTTTTCACTGGCTGGCTCAAATATATGCACAAACATGGACATGGTCTCTTATATTGGGGGGGGGTGTATAGAAGTGGGGTAAAGGAGGTGATTTTTCATGTGAATAATGTGAATTCTAAGTGCGGCTCCCAGATTGCAGCAGGCGATCTATGATCCCTAGGACAGCCCCAGTATTTATTTATTTATTTCTTTTTTGCTCACTTAGGGGTCTCTGAGCTATTGTTTATAAATCCAGCTTGCCTCCAAACATGCTGCCAGAAAGATCCTGTGAGGGCATCTTGTTTTGATGATCACAAGAAAACCAGCAGCTTTCTTCCCCCCTCACCTCCCCCAAATAAAAATCAAGAAGAGGAAGTTTGAAGAAACAAAAGACCTAAAAAATCTGGGAAGAGAGATTTAAACCCAATCCACTGGCTCAGCTGGGCATCTTCTTCTTAAATCCTGTGACTTGAGTTGTGCATGTGTATTTATTTACTTCTTAATTTGTTTACCTCTCCCTCCCTATCTCTCTGCTTCTCTCTGTTTCTGTATCTGCCTGCCTGCCTGCCTGCCTGCCTGCCTCTCTCTCTCTCTCTCTCTCTCCCTCCCTCCCTCCCTCCCTCCCCCCCTCTCTCTCTCACACACACAGTGAGAGTGGGAGTAGAGAGGCTGCTATGACTGTGACTTACATAAAATAAATAAGAATGTACTTTGGAAGAAATTTGGATTCATACCAATTCTTAATAACTGTATGCATGTGCAAGAGGGTATGCTTTTAAGGCCAATGCTTATAGCAAACAAAACCCTTTGAGAATTTAAACCTTTCCTAAGGGTGCAAGTAATCTGGCAAATTTAAATGTGTGTGTTTATGTGTATGTGGTGTGTGTGTGTGTGTGTGAGGGGGGGAGGGAGGTAGAAATGGGGGGGGGAATGAGAGATTCCCTGAGTACTTCACAGCTGTAAAGGGAATGTTGGTTTGGCTTGTGTTCAATGGGAACCCAAAGGAATTGATCTGCACCAGGTCAAACTAAGGCTTCAGAACTCAACTTTTAGGGGGAAAACAAATATGCAGCTACCAGAGAGGTGAGAACTTTGAGCCTTGGGCCACTGCTTCTTTCTTTTGTGTCTTCCTCTACAAGAATTCCAGAATCATCAAACTCAAAGCAAAAATGAATAGAGGAAAGAGGAATAAAATGAGCCTTCTGCTATCCTAGAAAAAAAGAACGAAGAAAAGATCTCCCTCCCTCCCTTCTGCTACAATGATTTTTTACAGTCCAAATAGCTGTTTATCCTCAAAAAATAGGCTTGCAGCTCCAGAATCTGAGGCGCTGCCTCCTTGGTGAGAGGAAGAGGAGTCTGTCTATAAGCAAGATGGGGAGCTCAACTTATGCTGTGCAATATACATCCATTCATTGTTTACCTTTGCCTTTAGATTCTGCTGAAGAGGCTGGGAATTCAGGCAGCTCTTGAGAAACCAAAGGAAAGCAAGCAGTCACCCAGGGGTGCTTAGTTAGGTTTTCAAAGGACCCTCTTAATTTCTGGATGCCTTGCACATGCAAAGAAAGACAAAGTCAGCCTTCTTGGGGAATCATATATTTGGGGAAAGAGAGGTGAAAGGATGTAGTGATGCAAAACGGCCATGAAAATTAATTACAAAAAAAGATGGGGAAAAGCAGTGATGTGTGTATGTGTGTATAGGGTGTGTGTGTATTTATTTATTGCAGTGCCAGTATAATAAGAAGCCCTTTTCCTGTACCTGCAGGTCTATATCAAGGGGGGGACTGAGGAACAGAACCATGAATTAGAAGAGAGGATTGATTCTCTCCCGCCACCCCCAATGGGTTTTCTGCAAAGGAGGGATGTATTTCATTTTGACTCTGGCCCTGAGCTATGGGAGGCCTGATTTGTGCATCTGACCAAGAAGGGAGCTTAAAATCAATGGATGCCCCCATCTACCACCTTCCAGAAGGTTTGGAGAATTCTGATTGAAGGCCATTGACTGGACCTCCATTGGAAGACCAGCCTTTGGACTGATTTCACACATAGAAGCTGTTCCCTTTGGACTGAATGTATTTTATTATTTGGTTTTTCATGCATTTGATGATTGAAAGAATCCTTAGTTTTGAAAAGGTGAAAGGGCGGTACTGGTGGGCAGTGTGGGGAGACAATCCTGCAAGTTTTTCCTGACATTTTCCCGAGACTAAGATATTGAATATTGGGAGGTCACTAACAGGAGCTACAAAAGGAGGCATGAAAGGCAATTTCAATCTGTAGTCTGCTCTCTGGCAAATGCACAGTCCCACACAGGAGATATGTACCCCACACCGTGAGATTGCAGCCCTGGGACTGGAAGGCAGAATCGAACCTGTAGAAGTGTTCTGCAATGGCAGCTGAGTCTAGAAGCTGTAAACTAGAAGCATCCTTTGGACCCACTACAATATTCTTTCTCCAAATACTCTTGAATCTGTTACCATTTCCCCCCTCTACACACACACACACACACACACACTCACAGACACACACACACTCACACACACTCACTCCCGCCAAACAATCAACGCTCGGGCGATCCTGGCACTGACTCGGAAACTCAAAGCCTCTACCTTGAGAAGCCGCGGCGCAAACTGTGGAAAGTGGATACAGTTCTAGCTTATCTCTGCTTTGTTACGGGTCTGACGTGAGCCCACGTCCTGATCTCTCCCCCCTTCCTCTTCCCCCCTCTGTTTCCCCTCCCCCCAATATCACAGGCAGAATTTCATCGAAAAGTGTTACAGTATGACGGAGCTGGAGCTCTAGAGAAGCGCACTGCCCCAAAGAAACCCCAGGAGGGGAGCAACAACTTAGCTCTTGGAGGGGGGGGGACGAAAAGGGGTGTGGGGGGATAGAGAGGAGCGAGAAGGAGGAAAGAAGAGGCACCTCTAGTGAACGTGAGTATGCTCGTTCTCTCAGTCGGAGGGGGTGGGTGGGGAGAAAGGAGAAATCCAAATAACAACAAATACGCCCCAGCTCTTAAAACAAAGGGAAAACTTTAACGCCCGCGGAGGGACCCGCCAGACGAGCAAGTCTCCTTTGACTCGTTAGGCAGAATAGACGCCCCTTTAAAATGATTCTTTAAAATGGTTACTCTGCTGTTCGGACGCACACACACACACCCCTCAGTCATCTTTCCATCCCTAGAACTCTTGCAGTATCTTGGTGGGAAAACCAGCCCCTCTTTAATTATACTAAATGGCTGGATGAAGCTTTCGAATTGGTATTTATTTTGGGAGGTGGGCTTTGTAAAAGAAAAAAAGAGGAGGAAGAGTAAGAGGAGGAGGAAGAGAAAAAGGAGAGGAGGAGGAGCAGGAGGAGAAGGAGGAAGAAAAGAGAAAGGAGGAAAGAGGAAGGAGAAAGGTGTAAAAGGAAAGAGGAAGAGGAGGAGGAAGAGGGGTGAGGAAGAAGGAGGGAGGAAGAGAAGAAAGGAGGAAAAGGAAGAAGAAAATAAGAAGAAAAAGAAAAAAGAACTAACACCGTGTCAGTAATCCAATTCCAACCCGTTCCTTTAATAGCCAAGCGCCGTCGAGCTGCCTTTGGGCTGGTTGAGAACCTCTGGATTGTTTAATAGAAAGATTTATATACTAACAGTATTATTTACTTTGGGAGGGAAGGTGGCAGTCTAAGAGTATGCTAATTAGCCAAAGATTGGGGGGGGGGCACGAAGGGGGTGGAATATCAATTTTTATTGCATCACCTGTCAGGAGTGTCCAATCAGCGCTGGCTTTAGGGGAATTAATTGATGAAGGTGTCTCCGGACGAGCTCACTTCACTCTGTCATTTGATTTGGAGCGAAAGCAGCGGCGGGAAGAACGGCTGCGTGCCTCTTCTGCCTCCTTCAGCAGCCCTCTGGCTTTACATTCCTTTATCCTGGGCTGGACAGGGGGAAGAGCCGCCAGCCCAAGGACACAGGTAGTGAGCCTGCCTCCTCAGCTACGTCGCGAGAAAGGCCGGGGCCACCAAACTGATATATTCCCTCCCACTCCCCAGGACATGATTTTTTTATTTCCACCCTCCAGGGCTCTTTCCACTTCTCCTCCTTTCTGCCTTGCGCCTCTGATTTTTTTAGTCCTCCGAACTTTGATCAGGAATAACACGCTTTGTTCTTTTCCATTCAGTAGGATGCCTTGAGACCAAACCCAGCATCTGGCTAAGGATTTTTTTTTAATTGGCTTTTCGTGTGTGGATTTCTTTTTTTCCTTTCTCTATTTCTGCCGCCCCACCCGCCCGACATCGCACCTTTTCTTCTTGCTGCTGATCGCCGTTCCAACTTGTGGGGTGCACGGCGGGCCGTCGCCCATCCATTTTCCGCTTTCCCTGCCCAGATGCTAGACTTAATTTAAGGCGCACCATGGAAGATTTGAAGTCGGGTTTCGAAGAGGTGGATGGCGTACGCCTGGGCTACCTGATGATTCGGGGCAAGCAGATGTTCCCCCTCTCGCAGGTCTTCACAGATCTTCTGAAGAACATCCCGCGCACCACGGTGCACAAGCGCATGGATCACCTGAAAGTCCAAAAGCACCAGTGCGACCTGGAGGAACTGCGGAAGCTCAAGTCCATCAACTCCATAGCTTTCCACGCAGCCAAATGCACCCTCATTTCCCGCGAGGACGTAGAGGCGCTTTATACCTCGTGCAAGACCGAGCGCGTCCTGAGAACCAAGCGTCGGGGAGGTGCCAAGCCGGGCCAGGAGACCCTGCGCCCCGACCCCTACGCGGCTTTTTGGAAAGACGGAGGCAAACTTTGCGTGAGCTTGAAAGAAGGGACTACAAGCCAAGCCAGCAGCAGAAAGAAAGCAGCCTGGCGCAAGGCGGCGGCCGCGGCGGCGGCTGCACAAGCAGGAGCTTTTCTACCGGCCTCGGATCTACCTCATTTTTGGAGCAAATCCGCCGGGCGCAGTTTGCCAAGCTTTGCCCCACCGCCTAGCAATGAAGCTGTAAACTATGAAACCGCCCAGCTTGGCCCCGGCTACGTCTCGCTGGCCACAGAATCGGCTTGTTTTCGGAGCCTGCTCTGCTCCAAGCATCCTCATTACTACTACCATTCCTCGGCCGCCATTGCCACTCAGCCTAAGCTCGCGGCGGCGGCGGCGGCGGCGGCAGCAGCAGCGGCGGCGGCGGCGGCGGCGGCAGCGGCAGTCTCTAGAAGCAAACCGCTGGGTCTGGGCTGCAGAACTAAGCGGAAAAAGAGCACCGAAAGGCGTTTCTCTGGCGGGTGCGGGCGGCGTGTGGTGATTCTGCCCCGAGCTTGCAAAGCAGCTCGGAGCGCCGTGGCGGAGAGGCTGCATGGACTGCGTGGTTTTCTGACCCCGCAGCCTGCCCCGGTTTTCCCGGAACCTTACAGCAGCGATTCGGAATCCAGCTCCTATTCGAATCACGCAGACAACGACTCCGACTTCTGCTCCAGCCTGAGCAGCACCAGCAATTCCGGTTCTTCTGAGGAGGAAGAGGAGGAAGGCAGCTGCGCCTCTGATTCCAGTGAGCTCAGCTCTGACGAGGAAGAGCAAGAAGAGGAAGAAGACGAGGAGGACGAGGAGGAGGAGGAAGAGGAGGAAGGCAGCTGCGCCTCTGATTCCAGTGAGCTCAGCTCTGACGAGGAAGAGCAAGAAGAGGAAGAAGACGAGGAGGACGAGGAGGAGGAGGAAGAGGAGGAAGAGGAAGAAGAGACCAGCTCCGAATCTGATTCCAGCTCCGGGTCCAGCCACGTCTCGGTCCAGAGTATCCGCTTCAGGCGCACTAGCTTCTGCAAATCGCCCACCCTCCAGACTTCAGCCAGCCTCGTGCCCCATCCGCCTCAGTTTGCTAGCCACGAGGAGCTTCCAGGTCCAGCGCAATTCGTCAAATGCGAAGCGTCGGAAGAACCTGAGGAGTGGAAGATCCCGGCTGGATGGCTTTCAAAAGCTGAGCCGGGCTTGGACTGCACCACGCATCCTGTCGGCAGTGCGTACTTAGGATTGCTGGAGCAGCCCACGGAAGGGGCCAGTGGCGGTGAGGGAAGATTCCTCTTGACTGGCGAGGACCACTCCACACTCGTGCCTGAGGTAAAGTCTCTTGACCTGCCTGGGGTCCCCTGGTTAGCCTGCGGTGACTCTTCTGTTAGCTTAAAGCCAAACCACATTTTGCCCCAAGCAAGATTTTTCGGAGAGGGCCAGACCTGCCAGCCTGCCCTTGCCTCTCACCCTCATCCTTTTCCCCTTTCTCCAACTGGTGCAGACAGTAGCACTGCTGCCCTAACCCATCTGCCCAAGGAGCTTCCGGGAAATGTCCAGTTCAATGAGAGATCAGCCACTTGCCAGGGGACTGCTGCTGTTGCAAGTCCAGATCTCCAAAGCCATGTCCAGCTCCTCTCTTTTGTGCCCATTGCCCAGATCAAAGTTGAGGACAGCAGTGCTAATGCTGAGTATGGGGCTCTCCCAGTACAGATCCCACTCAAATGGGAAGAGAGTGACCAGGAGACCAAGGTGGAGGCAGACTGCCAGTCATCACCACAGCCTGGTCCCACCCAGCATCCTGGAACTCTTTTGCTGTCAGCCAAGGCAGACCCTACCTGCCTAGAGGACTGTCCTAGCCCTCTCAAGAGCACTCTGTGTCCAGCATCTCTGAGCCGGACCCTTGCTGCATGCACTTTAGGCAATGCTTCTGCTGCCAAACCTGAGGATGGAGATTACAAATTCGGAGCCCGGGTGAGGAAGAACTACCGCACCTTGGTGCTGGGCAAACGAGCCACCACACCGAGCCCAGCACCACTCAAGCCAAATCTGAAATCAGCACGCAACCCCCGGCCACCTCCAGGGAAACTCCCAGAGGCTCAAGAAGGCAGCTTGGATGACTTAGCTGTTCTCAACCGACGCAAGAGGGTGGCTAGCAGTGTCACCTCCACCCTCAAGAGGCCATTCAGTTTCATGGGCAACTTTCCCTGCCCTCCCTCCTTGGTGGTTGGCCCAGATGGAGATCTCACACCAGCCTATACCTTAAGCACCTCCAAGAGTGCCCAACCACCACCCAAGGCCCATCCTATCTGGAAATGGCAGCTGGGTGGGCCACCAATACCTCTTCCACCCAGCCACAAGTTCAGGAAACTGAACTAAAGAAAGAGCTAGGATGGGAATTCTACTTTTATGGTTGATGTGAGGATGGCTTGAGTTTTTGAATTCATCCTAATAATAATAGTTATATCTAATATCATTTTGATTCTCTCCCTTTCCCAACACCTTCTTTTCACCACAGTTCACTACTCTGGTTTTTCTTCTATCGCATCTGCTTGCATTTTGATTTTTTTGAATTCTAGTTTATTCCTCCCAGTCACTGGGGGGAGCGGGGGGGGGGGGAAGAAGACAGCAAAAATTGGATTACTTTTTGCCATGAAAACAGATCATGGGGGGAAGGAGGGTAGAAGTGTGCATGAAGGGAGAGAGATCTTACATTCCACAGACTACTTCAAGCAAAAGTCTCAAGTTAATTAAAAACAAACAAACAAACACCTCAGTGGACTCTCTCAAAGCTGGAACACTTTAATGTCTCAGATTGCTCATAATGCACCTGGTACCTCAATTCAATTGTTACAAGTAAATGTTTGGGGTTTGGGATTTTATTAGTTGAAAGATTATTTGAATGAGCCATTAATATGTAATGCACTAGATCTGGAACATGGAAGTCTGTACAATTTTATTCAATTTTCTTCAGCAAAAAGTTGCACAGGGACTTTATCATTTAGTTGTGTGGGGGGGGGGGTGCGTGCTTCTTCTTAACTTCTAAGTATTCTCTCACCTCTTAATCCTCACCTCATCTCCTTTATATCAAAATAACTAACATGCCTACATTTAGCATAGAGTGTATGTTTCTAGATCATTGCTGGGACAATTGTTTCTTTCACAGCTGAAAATCAATAGCAGTTAAATTTAGTTGGATTCTTGTTAAAATTAAGAATAATTATCCAGGATAAGTCAGTTTTAAAAACGTAAGGGAAGAGCATTCTATCCCTTCCCATAATAAATTGGTCAGAATGTCCATATATCATATCTTGATTACAGCATTCAGTCTCCTATATCACAGACCAGACTTCTGCACATTTAATTTAAAAAGCCGGTTTCCCACACCAGCCCCTGAATGATTGATAAGGACTGCAGTCTTAGAAGAATTAGGATTGCAGTGGAGCAGATTGAAGCTATGTTTCATTGGAAAGATGAAGGAGTATCCATAACTGTGTCTCTCTCAGATTGAAAAAATCAAAATAATATTATTTTTTCCAGATTTCCATTGCAGGAAAATGCAATCACCCTCTCCCCCATTTTTAATACAACAACAGAAGCCCCAAATTCCTGCTTTCAGTAGCTGCTGTGATCACCCAAACTCAGGTGTCTGAAACCAGGATGTGACACTGTTTTCTTACATACCTGGAAATTTCAGTTTTCCCAACCATCCTATCTTTGTAGCAAGACCATTTTTTACTGCACATGACAATCAGAGGCAATTGTCTATATTTGCACTTAAAATTTGTCATAATTGAAGCAAGTGGACTTCTAGATGTTGTGATAATGGAAACAGTAAATCAAAATGATGGAAATTTGCACTCTTGAAAAAGCATGCTTTAGCTTTATTTTCAAATAAAACACTGTTTTAAAAAGAAAATGTTCATATATTTATTGAAGCATTATTCTTATTTTCATTCTTTTGATAAGTGGGTGCATGAGAAGAATGTAAAGCTTTGGTTGGAAGGAAAGATACTTTGAGGGATTGTTCCTATAAAATTGTGATGAAAATGTCTCAAACTGTGGGATAAGAAAAGAACTTTTACAATGTTAGTTACATCCATCTAAAAGCTTTTGAATCAGCTCTTTGGATCTGGTTCTTTTTCCTTGATCAGATTTTGAAAGCACATCTTTCTTTTAAATTAAAAATGATGAAGCATATCCTTTAAGAGGCAGTCCCAAGATAATATAGCTTCAATTGCAAAACAACAACAAGCCTTTGTTTATCCTGAGCATCAGAGTCAACTTTTCTTATGGAGATGTGATGCATATGTTACTATTTACAATGTTGACATTTCTGCCCTAGGTTATATCTCCCTTTTTTATTTCTATATATTCCAAATAGACTGAGATAATTTCTTCTCTATCTCATACAGACCCATAAAGGAAGTCTTTTTCTTTCTGCAAATTATGTGCAAGAGCCAAATATATTTAGAAATACCTTCACCTGCTTGCATAGTCAAACTCCTTCTTACCACTTATGTTTCTGATTTACAGGGCTGCATTATGTGTTTTAATTGCTTTGCTAAAATGTGATGCTTTCAAAAAGAGATGAGAATGCAAATGAAATTGTTCTGGCAGGAATGTTACCCTGGATGTATGTGTATCTAGATGTGTGTCATCCAATCTCGAATGAATGAACTTCTTTTGGCTCGGAACATCCCTCCTTTTCTTCTTTTGCTTTTTCAGCAACCCCTAAGTGATTTGCAAAAGGCCTCATACTCCTTTGGGAAGAGAGACCTGCCAAAAGACATACAGTCCTAAGACCTGCCATTGCTTCATCCAGATAAACTCACACACGCTTTCCCCACTAGGCAATGCTTTCACAAATGGAAGGATGGTTTTTTTTTTGGGGGGGGGGGAATTCTGCATTAAAAAAAGCTGGCAAATGTCAACATTCCACACTGGTTTTTAAAAATGTTTTTATCCTGCCTTTATTATTTATAAATAATTCAAGACAGAGAATACTCCTTCCTTCCTCCTATTTTCTACTTAACAATCACCCTGTAAGGTGAGTTAGGCTGAGAAAGAATGGCCAAAGTCACCCAGCTGGCTTTCATACTTAAAGCAGGATTAAAACTCACAGACTTGTGGTTTCTGGGCCAGCATCTTAACCACTATACCAAATTGGACTAGCTTAACTTTCAAATGTGAAATTAATTTTTTAAAAATAAAATACGACTAAAATTGGTTGTGGTTATAGTCTCACTTTAGGGTTTTCAAGGTTAATTTGCTGGTTATAGTTTTGAAAAGTTGCAACATAAAGTACACTAAGCTTTTCAGGCTGCCTTTCCAGTGGACTGATGGCTCAATAAAAAAAAAAATCTACAAAAACCAGCCACCCTCGAATCTTCCCAAATTCTAGAGAGGTCACTTACTTTCACATGCGTAACTAAGGCCTTTTAAGTTTCTGACAATCTGGTGGGTAAAACATCCATTTATCCCTTTCTCCTTCCCTCTTTATTGCTTTCTACATATCTATGCATTTTTCGTCCATTGTTTTTGACCACTGAAGTCAGTGGCTGGTAAATATGAAGACATAGGAAAACCCCAAATGCTGAAATAATTCTTCACTATATAGTATTTTAATTGATTTTTACAGCCCTGGATCAAAGATATTGATCCATCTGATCACTTCAACTATTAAATCATATATTGAATGATGGGAGTCTAGGGGCAAATTGCTTATGTGCTTATTCTTAGGTTTTTTTTTAAAGTCCTAGTTTTAAGAGAAAAAGGAGTCAGCCTTTTTTATTTAAACAAATAAAGTGTAAAATGTAAGGAGTCACATTTTTAAAAATAAATAAATGTAAGAAGAAAAAGAGAGGTCCTAAGTCCAGTTGGATGTTTTCATGTTGTATTCTAACAATTCCTGTAGGTCCAAGAGATTCTTGTCCTATTAAGAATGCTGAGGAAAACATAAAGCCACACCCTCCTTGTCTTGCTGCAAAGCAACCCCCTGATCTTCTGTTGGTCTGCTTTGGAGCAGAGAGTTTTATAGAGTGCATCCCAAATTAATGACCTGAGGAATGTCTGCCTGTCCTCCCCAGAAACGGAGACCTTCTTAGCATTCACAGAAGACATTCTTCATTTTTCAACAAGGCTTGAATGTAGGTGAAATGTTCTTATTTTAATACTCCCACATGCCAATATACCCACCAGAAACCACCACCCCAACCCCCTTATTCATAAGCAGGAATACATACATACAATCCTTGGGGCTAAATCAAACTGATAAAAATAGTCTAACACATACTCTGAGCTTTACCTTGGAAGCCCACACTAGAGAAATTCTTCCCATGCCAGGTAACTGAGAAATTATATCCTCACTCTTCAACACAAAGAAAAAATAGGACTTTATATATCTAGTATTCAAAGGGAATGGATGTGAAAATAATTTTCAGGCATTTGCCATCAACTCCTGGTTTGCAAAAGGAGATAGCCTCTAGAAACTCAATCATTTTAACTGAGAAGGCAAAATTATTTTAACAAATGAAAAACAAAATAAACATCTTGTTTATTCTAAACACCACTGGGAAGTAAAAAAGAAAAAAACATGTCTGGTTTATGAAAGACGTGTGTGTCCGTGTGTGTGTGTGTGTGTTTGTGTGTGTGTGTGTGTCCGTGTCCTATTTCAACAAAAAAGTTGAACAGTAGCAAAATTGGGAAGGGGTGTATACTCACTACCTACCACATACAGATTTTGCTATTATTGCTAAAATATTCTAATTTTTGTAAGAAGAAGAAATCATATCTTCTTTCATTTTACACAAAAGTTGATCAAAAGTGGCCTTTGGGAAGATACAGATACAAGACAGGAAGTGCTTGCTTACTGTGGTTTTTTACAGTTAAGACATTTGTGTTAAAAAAAGAAAGAGGGGAAAGATAAGAAAGAAAAGTTCATGATTGAATTGCATCTCCATTTGGGGTGGCCGAAAATTTCCTTTCAGATATTGTACACACATTTCCCTTCCCATAGCAGCATGACAAAAGGCAGGATTTTACTTAATTCAATTGCTTTTATAACCATCAAATATTGGTAAAATGTTTTTTCCAGAAATTCCATAGATCAGCCCTGCAAAACAAAAAAACCAACCACCACCATTCATATAGAGTTGGGATTCAAGGAACAGAACAGCTGGCTTTCTTAATTGACAAAGATTTCATATATTCCTATGTTGACTAAATACATTTCCCCTAGATTCGCATCTGACTTAAGTGTGTGTGTGTGTGCACATGTGTGTGTGCACGCGCGCGCACACACACACACATTGCAGGGTATGTTGTAATTTCTGTTAATGTCTATTCTGATATAATTATTTGCGTTGCCCTGCTTCTTC